GTTAGATGGAGAGAAAAGCAATGATAGAAAACTTTTCCCTTTGCTAAAGTCATGGCATTTTGAAATTACCACATTACAATTTTAAAAAGCAGCAGCTTGTATCAGAATGCTGATGTTTGGAGCGGATGTTTAAAGCTGGAGGGTTCCTTTCGTATTCGGCAGTCTATTAGGTTAGAGTTTGATATGTAAAAGATGCTACAAATACAATGTGCATATTTATAGGATATAATCATCTACAGAATGAATTAACAATGAAGCAGTGTCCTTCATGCTTCAATAGACAAATGGTAGGCATGGCATCTTTGCAACTTCTTATCTGCTATCTTCTTGTCATAAATCTGTGATGATGATTATGCCATTGTGATGAGTCTTTCTTCATGTCAATTCCCATGAGAAGAACAGATAAAAAAGGTTCTCTCAGAAGAACATAGCAGTTATTTGAGATACCTACTTTGTGGTTTCCAAACCATCCAGACCTCGTATACAGATTTACTTATTTTTCAGTTTGTTCAGTTTTGAGAGTTCTTTTTGAGGATGCATATGGAATTTCCAGTTCTAATTTTTTGCTTTCTGAATTCAAATATTCAGATGTTACTGAAGTCATCTTGAGTTCAAACATACAGTTCCCTCTGAAAGCCAGCTGCTCTTTGTTCTAGTCTAGTCAGGTATTAATTTGGCTTCATTTGGACTGTGCAGCCTTTGAAGTTTCTGCACTCATGTTTCCCTCAGCTTTATTTAGCCTTATATCAAATTTAAAGCACTGTCAGATTAACATCACATATACCAGCCCCACATTTTGGAAACTTTTCCAAAGTGTAGCCTGGATCTTTTGTTTCCTAACTTGCCATATTGTTTCAGCAAGCCTTTGTGACTCTGACAGTGCAGTCTAACATTCAGTTTTATTTCAAAGCTCTGAAATTATTTTTTAAAAATATCAATATTGGCTTTAAAAGGTCAGGCAAGAATTGTTACTCCTAAATTTTTTTTTGTTCTAACCTGGCCCAGTTCCCAGCAGATACAGCCGCCAAATCCCATCTGTTTCTCAGTTCCCTGACCTGGGAGGGTGGGTAGAAGGACTCATGACTTCAGGGGTCTCCGAGTCTTCTGAGCATCTTCAGGGACCCAGATCTAGAATCTAATGTTTGTTCTTCCTGAACAGTGTGCCCTTACAGCAGGGGCTGCTTCCTGTTGGGTAGACGCTGGAATCGCACCATTCTGAGTTCCTGTCTGCTTCGATTTATAGCCCAAATAGTTGTATTGCAGAACCACCAGTTAACCAGAAACACAGATAAGTTCAGAGATCATATAGTAGTGAAATAATGAACACATGTAATAGGAATTGCTAACCACAGTCAGTTTAGGAAAAAACAAACAAACAAGAAAACAAACAGTGCTGACGTGGTTTGGGAAGCAGCATCTGGAGTGCAACCCCCTGGTCTTGGACTAATGTGCAAATGCAGAGTCTGGTCAGTATCTCTGAGTACAGCAAAACAGCTCACACACTCTGTTTTCCATTTGATCTGTTGGTTGTGAAGAGCAGAGCCTCTGATTAGGAGAACAGCCATCTGTTTAAAACCCACTTTTTTATGCACCTGTCTGGAATTTTTCCTGTACGCACCATTGGTCTCAGTAGTTCATCTTCTGTGAGTCGCTGGTTTGGACTGGCCTTGCAGATAAAAGGAGGAGGTAGGGTAGAATGGATATAGTCCATGCAACAGAAAAGCTACGACCTTGACAAGAGTGACTAAGGGTTTCAGTATTACTATCCTACAGTTTTGGAATTGCTCTGGTAGAGTTCTGTTTCCATTGCACTGTCAGAACCTTTCTATACTATTCCACAGTGGAAGGGATCGCTCAGTGTTGATTGCTGTCAGTGTTAGAGGTCTCTGAAGGATGTGACACCTGAAGGTTGGATGAGTTCTCACTCCAGCTAGGTATTATAACCTACCAGACTGTTTCTAATGCAGGATGAAAGTCACACTTGAAGTACAGAGAAAGGTTTCCCTACAAAAAAGAACTCCTGATTTACAAATTAGGTCTGAAAGCATGTCTTGTTAGAATTCAGAAGCTATTGATTAGTTATCTTAAATGTTTGTATTAGAATCCTGTAATAATGCTGATCTCTCATAATTGAAACACTGAATTCCTAATTTGTGCTATGAATTTTAGCTCTTTTGAATTCTGATCAGATTTCTGTGTGTTCCTCTACATGAGGAAGACAAAATGTGAGGCTGGAACATAAGAGGTAGGACCTTTGCAGATGCACCTTCACTCGGTGATTATGTAGTTTTCCTTTGACAACTGGGTGAGATGCTGACCTCTGGTGGCTTAAAGCAAGCACGAGCATAGTGCTTTTTGATAATGACTGAAACTGGTGTTCCTTATCTTTAACATCATTTTCTGTAGCCAGTAAGGTTAGTAATGCATAAACATTAATAACATTAGTTTTATGTGTGTGTGTGTATAAATATAAAAATATGTATGTCACTGCCTGGACAGTTTTCTCCTTGAAGTGGATGGGGGAGCTTTAAAGGAAGGGCTGTACTGTATTTGCCCTGGGACTGTTGGCATCACTGGCTAGTAGACAGTGCAGGTTTCAGACAGTGTTTGGACTGGCTGAGATGAAGAAGGGGAAATCATGTTTCCTCTTTTCACTTCCTCTCCCTGTTCAAGAGAAAGATGATTTCCCTTCTTTTTACTCAAGCTGATTTTCTCCAGGGTTATTTGATTTTGTGCTTCAATTTTCACAGCTGTTTGAGGTTTACATGCCCCGCAGGGCACACAGTGTCATTAAGGAACTTTAGCTGTTTTCATCCGCACAGTTGCAGAAATAGGCAAGAACAAAGAAACTTACCATTTCTTACTTAAACACTGCTCAGAAGGATTGATTCAAGCCTTTGCATTGCATGCAAATGATGCTGTGGAGATGCAGTGAAGCACTGCTGTACTTCCTTGGTTACCTCTTTTGCTGTCAGTAGATTCCACAGAAAAGTATTCAAGGTTCCTAGATTAAGTTCTGTTGAAAAAAAAAGAAACTGAAGGACCATTTGTGCAAAATTATGAATTATAATAGCTTACAATACATGCATCTGCTAGACTTTGGGGAGCACTTAACATTCAAGCTTTGATGTAGCTGTGTAACTACTTCTTTTGTATCTGTTTTGTCTTTGCACCAAAGAACATATGCTTAGCAGTAAAGGAGGAGAAATCTTTTCCTCTTTATCCTACTCCTGTTTTATTTTCTCTGAAGTTCACATACTCTTGATTTTCAGATTCTGCTTTGGGGGTGTGGTGCTTCCCCTGAAGCAATGCTTGCTGCTTTGCTGCTAGCAAAAGCTGTGCTGCTGGTGTAGCACTGGCTGACTTGGTGTCCTTGCATTGCAGCACAGCTGACAGTAAGCAGGCTCTACCATGGGATGTCAGTGGTGCTGCAGGAATGGCTTTCTGAATGGTCATCAGAAAGAAGCAGCTGATGGCTGAACCACCAATTAGAGAAGAATTACAGTAGAATCTCAAAGATTTTTCTTCTTCAGGGGTTCGGAGCTGTGTAGATATTCTAGCAATGCTGCAATGGCATAAAAATAATGCTCCTTCGACAGCCTGTGTCAAAGACGTGACTGCTGGAAGGAAGGAATATCACTAGCAGTGTATTGGTGAAGATAAAGAAGCTTGGTTTAGGCTGCAAAAATGCTTAAATACTGAGTTTCATATGTGGACAAATACTTTGTTTTTGCTTGAGGGATTAATACTATGTCCCTCATTTCAGCAGGCATTTATGGACTTCCAGGTCTGCCTACTGGGAAGTAAATTAAATACATAGCTGCTGCTTCTCACCTGTTTCCTCTGTTGTGATGGAAGAAAATTTTTCTTGCCTGTAATACAGATGATGATCATTGCTACTTTTTTTTCTTTCCCCTATCAAGAGGGATGATAAATCTGCAAGATTTGCATTTCTGAACAAAAGCATAATAGGCATGCCTCATTTTTTTTTAAAGATATGCCTAGGAAATTGGAGGCATAGGAAGTCTACACAAACTCTGTAAGCATGGCTGAGAAGGAAAGATGAACTGCTTTACGATGCCCTTGAATTAAGATGTTGAGTGTTTTTTTTAATGTCACTTGGAAGGTTTGCTTCTTTTTCTGTCAAAAGCTGCCTTTTGCATGTGCTGTTCAAGATCCATTAAATGTCAGACGGAGGTTAGAAAGCCAAGGGTAATTGTTTTATTTTTGTATTTACACTATATTTTTTCTTGTATTATTATTTCTGTTTGCAGTTTTGTTGTTGGTTTTCTTTTAAAATCTGCAGGACAGTGGACATGTTATACTGAAGTATTTATGTATTATGTATAGGGCATAAGAGCTGTTAACAAGTATATGTGAAAAGAAAAATATTGCTGTACGGTAGATTTTATTTTTTTTTTTATTTTAAGCAAAAAAAAAGCATGAAAATGTTATTAATGTATTTGTCAGTATGTATAGGTATTTCTGTATGAACGTGAACTCAAAAGACATTTACAGGTTGGTCTGAATCATATTTTCTAGAGTGAAATGCAGTTAAATGAGTGAAATCACATACTGACAGCACTGGAAAGCAAAGAAAGAAACTTGGTTTTATTTGAAAGTATTAATTTCAGTGACAAGGTTATCATAGCACATTAGTTGCAAAGCACTGCTGGAAATGTCTTTTTTTAAGAATAAGTTCTTGTAATAAAATATTTGTCTCTTTATCCTTCCTTCACCTGCCACCAGCCATGCCAGCTTCTCCATGATGACATGTGTCCACTGTGTCCAGGACCTGCATGTACCAGCCAGGAGTAATCTGTCATTGTCACCACTTGAACCTGCTATTTATTTACTGCTCACTCTAATTGTATATCAGATTTGCAAACTTGCTTTTTATAAATACTTTCTTAGGAAAATCAGCAAAACTGGCAGCAGTGTTTATATAATAATGCTCACATTTCTCCCATTTTTTTCCCTTTTCTTTTTTCCTAATACAGGAACCCAGTAACAAGCGGGTCAAGCCTCTTTCTAGAGTTACATCACTAGCAAATCTTATTCCTCCTGTACGAGCCACTCCGTTGAAGCGGTTCAGCCAGACACTTCAGGTAATAACAATAAATGCATTGCTGTGTTCAACTGCATTTCTAAAAGGGGAAAGCACACACAGACACACGCTTACTTTTGGGTTTCTGTGGGAGTATGAAATGCATGTACATGTCTGGACACAAGCATACACACCACCGCAATATGACAGACAGGCTTAGGTAATATATGACTATGAAGTCACTCATTTGAAAAACTCAAAACTCTTACCTCAAGAACCATTTCACTCATTGTCCAGATAATTAATGTTTATTAATTACCAGGAAAACAGTTACACCTGGAGCTTTTTAATTTTTTGCTTTTTAATTTTTTTTTGAAGAACAGAGTTTTCTATGACACTACTTCCTGTTAACTTTAACAGATTTCTTTGACAATGTTATTTTTGGTATAGCCAGTCAGATAGAATTGACGTCTTTCCTTCTGTGTGATGAACTTTGACTTTCCCTAGAGAAAAGATGTATTGAACAATTGGAAAAAGGTAATCTTCCAAAGCTGCTGATAAAAATTAATCAAACTTTAAATGCATCTAAGGAATTAAATCATTCTGTAGTTGCAATTTCCATATTATATGTTAGATGCATAATATTTAACATAGCTATGAATAGAACTTGAATTTATGAAGTATTAGTGCCTTCAGACCTAGAGATTTCAAAACGTGTGGTTGCTCAACTCCTAATGATCATGATGAGTGAGGAACAGTTAAGAACTGAAATAGTGCTGTGGATCTGGTCTAGAAAACTTTGGAAAATAGCATTGTTTCTTCTTTAAAATAGTTTCTGTGACAAAGCATATGTACAATCGAAATAGAATTATTAAAAAATGCTGATTTCACTAAACAGAGGAAGTATAATTATATCCAAGTGTATTAGAATGTTATTTAATCAAAAATAGCTATCTTAGAGTAACATTGATGTTATCTGTTAAATAAAAAGTTACGGAAGAAAACCCAACAAATCACTTCTGTAATGGTAGTATCCCATAAACAGATATTATAGCATTTATTTAACATTGATTTTCCTCTGATCAGTTCCTCCTATTTTGAAAGCACAGACATCTGCATACAAAAGCTGCATTTATGGGGGTGGAGAAGAGGCAAAATGGCTGAACTGCCTTCAGTCTGAGTTGGATCCAGAATGTATACTATAGCGTGACTAGAGCAGAGATGCCTGTATTCCCTGGAGTGTATAAATCTCCTCCACAGTCTGCCTGAAGGAAAAAATTGGCCTGACTCTGAAAGGAGTACATTAGTTCCAGTTGTGAGGCGTGTGGAAAGTGAATTAATTTTTGGCTAAACTGCTTCTGAGCACGGCACTTCCCTTTTCACAGCCTTCCACAGCTGTTGTCCTCATTTAAGTACCTGCACTGTCATTTTGTAGTGAATGCCTTTGAGATTGGTTTGTCCAGAACAATATAGTATTTAATCAAGTTTGATTTCAGGTATTGAAACAAACTGTATTTTCATGCATGTACTAGCAGCCTCTGTAGAACCTAGTAAGAGCTACATAAATGTGTTTCAGGACAAATTTTTACAGAAACAGGCATGAAAATCATAGAATTGTAGAATGGCCTGGGTTGAAAAGGACCACAAATGATCATCTAGTTTAAACCCCCTGCTATGTGCAGGGTCACCAACCACCAGACCAGGCTGCCCGGAGCCACATCCAGCCTGGCCTTGAATGCCTCCAGGGATGGGACATCCACAACCGCCTTGGGCAGCCTGTTCCAGTGTGTCACCAGCCTCTGAGTGGAAAAACTTTCTCCTAGTATCTAACTTAAACCTCCTCTGTCTCAGTTTAAAACCATTCCTCCTTAGCCTATCACTAACCATGTAAACAGCCATTTCCCTTTCTGTTTATACGCTCCCTAAAATGGTGGGTTTGTAAGCTCTTGTGAGTTTTAAGTAGTAAATCCTGCTGTTGTGAGCATTCCTGTCTTACTCTGTTCCTCTTGGTTAAAAGAATGTATTTTAAGTAACTCTCTGCTTCTAAGTGGAATAATCAGTGATGTTTTTCATACTTTCTCCTCTAAGTAACTGAGCTTGGAAGGGCTGCAATGAGAAATTGACTTCTCTGTTCTCCAAGTCCTAGATCCAAATCTATTTCCAGGTGGTGAATGCTGGCAGTGTCTCAAAACAAGCTTTCATATCTGACTGTAAATTGACTTCTTATCTGACTTTGTCAGCAGCAGTAGAAGAGGGGAAAAAAATGGCTGAGTTTGTGTTCAGGTGCCTAATTGGAAATCACTTGGAAGCATTCTGGGAAGCATGTACAGCCCCTGTGTTGATGTTTTGCTTTAATTTCTTACTATGGGACCCTAAAGTTAAAACCTTAAGGTGTTGGGGTTTTTTTTGTTTGTTTTTTTGTTTTTTTGAATAATACCTGAAAAAAAAAAAGTTAATTTTCTCATTGGGTCAATTTTGATGCATCTCCATTGTTAAGTTATTTCAATCAAAAACCAAACACCAATTGTATCAGCAAAAGTAATCAGAAAATTCTGCATTTCTTTCATGAAAATTCAAATAAATCTTCTTATATAATTATTTTGGAAGTAAAGATATGTTTGATTAAGAAAAAAAAAAGTTCCATGTAATTTTCCTTACCTCTGTAGATGCAACTTCTGTATTAATGGATTTTCTACATGCTGGTTGAAGAGAAACACCTCTGTACCTGAGAGCTCTGTAGTGTTTCCTAAGATGCATTCTTAACAACTTCTGCTGTTTTGCTTATTTTTTGATTATAGAATTGATCAGTTTGTGTGTCTTATTTCTCAACTTCATTATCATTTTGCACATTATTGTCAATACTTCCCGCTGAGATACGGAATAACAAAATGCATGAAGTCTTTCTGGGTCACTGTGTTTCTGTCACGTAGAACACTATAGGTTAACTGAACAATTCTGTTACTTCATCGCTAACAGAGCGTCTTTCTGTCTGCATTTCTGCAGGATGCCAAGTGCTAAGCAGGTATTCTTATCTAGTTATCCACCTATAAAAATACTTTGTCTTAGCTGTATTTTTAGTCTGCATCATGCACGACTAATGATTGTGATGATTGTTTGTTTCTGTTTGGTCTTATTCACAGCTGTGTTGTTAGACTTAAGCTGAATACAGCACAAGAAAAAGAACTCCAGCTGTTGTTGATGAGAAAAATTCAAGTCTGGCTAGCTTTCTCCACCACTTCAGTTTTCATCAATGTGTCTTGAATTTAAGAAGAGAGTCCAAATTGTTTTTATCTTCCATAGATACACCACAAATTTCTAAAAATTCTTAAGAAGGCTCTTTTTGTCATCAGTCTGAATGCTGGAACTTTGATCTGTAGTCCCCTTCTCTCAGTATGTAAAGCTGTTTGCTGTATTGCACCTGAAAGTAATGTTTGTAATTTCCAGAATTAATATCAGTAACACATACGCCCTTCACAGCAACTGTCTGGTAATAGTCAATGAATCTTATTGCAGTCAGACAAGTACACTGAGCACAGCCAGGAGTTGGAGCCTCGTTCTTCCAAAAGTCCTCTAATTTTTTGGATTTTATAAGAAAATTTAAAGTGTCTCAGAATTTAATAGGCATGGATTTTAACCAATGTACCTGGGCAGGTTTTTTGTTTTGTTTTAAGGAGGCCAGAAACTAAGAAAGCATTTTTAAAAGACTGAAGATGAAGAAATAATGATTTGACATTTCCTCAGTTTCTTCATAGTGTTCAGTTAATTTTTTTTTTCCCTTAATGGTAACTGCCAAGGTACCAGCACAGGACCTTAACTTGTTTTTAAAATTTGCTATTTGATAAATTTAAATTTAGCTCTCCAATCCCACTAAAGTACTGTGTATTTATTTCAGAAAAAGACAGTAAAATAATAGAATTGAGATGGTTAGAATTATGTATGTCTGTCTTGGACTATAATCAGTGTTTTATTGAAATCATGTATTTGTTTGGCTTTTTAAAAAAAATTAGGCTTGCTTACTGAGTTTACTTCTCATTTCTATTCCTGTCTGTTACAGCACTGAAAGTTCAAGTCTGTTTGACTTTTAAGTGACAAAATATTAATTTTAGCATCAAATAGTATTTCTCTGGTGATGCATAAGTTTTTATTTGTGGCTTTACAAGTCAATTTCTACAACTTACCTGAAGAAGTAAAAGATGTGTGGTTTCCTTCTGAGTGTCAGACTTTTTACGCTCCTTCTGTCCAATGGAAGACAATATAGAACTGTAGAGAATAATATCAAGCACACCGCAGTGTAGAGAAACATAACTGTCAGTGGATGTAAGAAATTACTTTTCTCAACATGTATGGAGTTTGTTTGCTATTATGGGGTGCATGTTTTATAACATGTTACATGACCTTTTGTTAAAAGCTTTCAAGATCAGGGCGTTTACTGTAAAGATCAGCTTGTCTGTTTCTTTTCTTCATTCAACATGAAACATTCCTTTAAAAAGAAAACTACTACAAACTACTACAAAGGAAGGAGCTGTATTCTTGAGGATGTATGTGGGAATGCATGGAAGGGGGCATTCCATCTTGGGTCATGGAATGACAACTGTTCTGCTTGGCTGTTCTCATGGCTGGTGATTTGTGGCTGCAACACATCTGGCTCTTTTTCCCTAATCTTTCCATCTGCATGTGAAAATAACAGGCTCCTTGATTCATCATTGTAATAAGTATAAATTAAGCATATAATTTTCATGTGTATTTCTTTTATCTTCTTAAATCTTGAAGGGAGACTAGCACCTGATTTGCAAAGTTCTGTGAGGTTCGTATATGTATACATGTGTATGTGTTGTGTTTATTTTTGGGGTTATGCCAACTCCAAGTAGAATGACTTTTGTTATTAAAAAAAAAAAAGCATAGTTTTTATTCATATTATATCTTCTAAATTAAAAACATTGTATTTATAGGCATTGTTAGCATTTTATGGGCTTCTGTCTTCAGAGGAGAATTTCGAATATTGTGCTTTGTATATGCTGCTTTCAACTTGAAAATGAAGAGAATTTATTTTGTTTTGAATATTCTTACCCACAGCAATTGAAAGATGACTGTGTTATATAAGGCAGGTTTTAAATAACAACAGAAATGTAGTGTATTGGAACAATTTGGAATATCTGAGATATTTTAGAGGTAAGACTTCATAGTGAAGCCTCTAATTTTAATAAAACAAGAAAGGAATACTTTGAAAATAACAACATGAGATTGTAAAGTACTCTTCTATGGCCTGAACTCTTTCTATGAGTCTATAGAAAAAAATGTCTCAATACATAAAAGTCTCACTTAAAATTTGACTTCGTTTTTATTGTTCTTTAATACCTAATAGAGATCCTAGAACACTTCATCTCAGTTTAAAGGCTCCAGAATTATTAATAATTATGCTATGATAGATTCAGTACTAGTGTTTCATAATCTTCCATCTGCTAGCACTGATTTTTTTAAACACATTTTCTTTAAATGAAATAAGGAATAAATAGGACAGAGTGGTGTGAAAAGAATCTAACTTGTTGCTCATCATAAACAGTAAAATCTGACTATTAGCATACTTTTTCCATAAAGATAACACTTGTTCTTTTTAGTCAGATACCATTTCAGACTTCCTATGTGAATTAGTTTCTTGCTCCAATGATCTGAAAAAGCAGGAAGTTACCAGTAGAAAGGCTTACTTCATGTATGAGAATCACTTCAGTCAGAGCATTAAAACAAAGAAATTTAAATCCTGCTTGTATTTATGTATCTGCAGTAGTGGTACCAGTTGAATCTGTCATGATTCTCATAGCCTCCTAATGAATAAATAAATACAATTGATTAGCAAGATAGTAAGGTTTTGAAGGGCAGCCTCACTTTATAAACCTTTCTTCTGCCCAGCTGAGAAAAGATTACTGAAATCATTAATTACTGTTTAATGTAATGCACATTTCCATCTGAAATCCTCCAGGCCCATAGCATCTCTGTACAGCTATCTGAACAATAGTATGCCCCAGAAAGCAAAGCAGCCAACGCAACAATACAAAATTTTACCGTCATAGGTTTTGGAAGTTTCTAGGTAACAAGTGAAGCTTTCTTCCAAAATGAGCAAATAGTATTCATAGTAGTTCTTGTCTCTAAAATTTGTATTAAATTCTGTAATTTTCAGAGTTAGGGATCTAATCGGGTGGATCTGTGTTGTGTATGAGTAATTCTGTCTGACTGTTTACTGAATTGAAATTTTATTCAGTCAGCCATACTGATGTCATACCATTCTGGCATTACCACTGTAGTTCATTCTTGTTACATGGTATATAAATGTACTGTATAGTTTTGTACATTTCTAAACATGGTGATAATAGGACATGGACATAGGTATAGAATATTTAAAATAACCTCTTACATTCCCGGTAAAAAAGTTGCTACTAAGTTACTTCAAGAATTATTCAGAAATGTTTGAATTATATAAGTAAATCCATCTGAACAAAAACCCACAGTGTGAATTCGATATAACAAGAATTACACTTCTGTGTATTTCTAGCGCTCTATCAGTTTCCGCAGTGAGAGTCGCCCAGATCTGTTCAGTCCACGGCCATGGTCTCGAAATACGCCTGCTGCTAACACAAAACGGAGAGACAGCAAGCTGTGGAGTGAGACCTTTGATGTCTGTGTCAATCATATGCTTACGTCTAAAGAAATCAAGCGTCAAGAGGTACAGTTTTAATTATTACTGTTTTTTAACTGTAAGTCTCATGTTCAGAAGTCATTATATCATGGAGTAACACATGCTAGTAGACATTAGGATAGCACTTGAAGCTTTCTTGAAATTAAACAGAATACCACCATTTCTGCAAGAAGCAGAATTCCATCTCCAGACATTTAATTTAACTTTTATTAGACTGATATAGTTTTTCTTAAAATCCAGCTCATCATATTTCTGTAATAGAATGTGAAGTTACTAAGATACATTGTGCTCTAAATGCATGTACATACATGCTTTGTGTGACAGTTTCTGTAGGGATGGTTGATACTCTGATGTTTTACTTAATTCTGATAATGATGGCTGAGCATGCTTGTTCAAGTACAGGTATTATATATGCACAGAAAAGTGTAATGTTTTGCTCTGTGTTAATCAGAAATGTATCTTGCAAAGAAAAAAATGAGTACATCAGTGCTCTAAATGTGTTGCACGTGACAAATCCCACTTAGTTCATGTTACGCCAATAGCAAAGCTCCCACTGAGATCAATGAAGAAGTATGCTGTACTGACTGGGTTGAGTTGCTTTGTCTTGACACAAACCTTGTGATCAAGTGAGTTAGCCAAGAAATGGGAACCATAAGCTTTTATAGGTCTATTTGCACACACATACTCCAGGGTCTGTCTGCTCTGCATCACTCACTTATTTATTTGTATAAGTTCAACTAAATTTTATAGCAGTATCAGCAAAGTTTGTAACAATCTCTCCCGGAATATTTCAGGGACTAGAAGTCATAAATCAAACCACAACATCAGACACTTTTTTCAGATTTTAACACTAAATCATTCTCAGAAATAACTTCTAGAATTGAAAACTTCAAAGGCGGTTTATTGAAAAATAAACTGTAGAAACTGTTTGCATAGCATAATATACTGTCTTGGAGCAGAAGCCGGGACGTTTCAGAGAACTTAGATAAATGAGCTTTCCATGGGACCTTTCCATGAGGGTTCTGCTTTATGTTGGTTCTTACACTGCATGCCACAACACAATATCTGAACCACTTCCAACAGTCAGTTAACTTATAGTATGGCAAGCCTTCCATGTATGCATGCTATCAAGCTAGGAGAATCTGCAGTAGCTGAAGACTATTTTTCCATGATTTATTAGAGTTTAAAGCCTTACTGCAATATTAAAAATTCTGACCAAAGTGTTGTTAACTTTATTGTGCTCCAGTTTAGAATGAAATTGTATAACAAGTAAATACAAAGCTATTCTGGTAAACCAGTGTATTAGCATAGAGATTATTTTTAATCTGCCAGATTTAAAGTCTCAAATCTTTTTCAAGAAAGGTAACTAACATCAGTAGGCTGTTTAGTATAACTTGATATTTGTAACAAAAAACCCAAAACTAAACGTGAACCAATACCAAAATAAAAGTGCTCACAACCAAAGCTGTGTTTTATCAGATCTGTCTTCTGACCTACTAGGCTGCCTGGAACTTCTATTACTGCATATATTATACAGCACACAAGGCAGTCTTACACCGATGATTATATAAATGGTATTTTTTGAACTAAAGTAGTCAAGATATAGTTAGCAATAGGAGTAATTTCTTTTCCAACAGACATATTTCCAGATGGGGGAGTCTTATTCAGTATTCAGTATGAAGTTATGACTCGACTATTTCTTAACTATTTTAGTTTAAATATTTGTATTTATAATATTTGTGTCTTTTTTATAGGCTATATTTGAACTTTCCAAGGGAGAAGAAGACTTAATAGAAGATCTGAAGTTAGCGAAAAAGGTCTGTTTAAAAAAGAAATAAGTGTATGTATGTGGGGGTGGATAGGGGACAAGTTAAAAAACAAAACAATATTCAATAGTTTGTCTTTTCAAATAATCCTTGCTTTTTACAATTGCTTGAACTTTGAGAGGAAAATAAAAAGCCAACCGCAAAACTAAAGCATGATGCGTTCATTTAAAAAAAGTTAAATATGCTTGTGGAACATAAAATATTCTCAGCAGTTGGCTCATTTTTACTTATGTGAGCTTTAAATACTATCATTACTTTTCCAGTTACAAATTATATATGAATTTGAGCTCTTCTTTTTTATCTTTAGGCTTATCATGACCCAATGCTTAAACTTTCCATAATGACAGAGCAAGAGTTGAATCAAATTTTTGGAACACTGGACTCTCTAATTCCTTTACATGAAGGTAAAATTCAAATAGTGTTTTTCTGCTATATCATTGCATTTAGTTTTATAGTCATCTGGTTCATTAAGTGATGTCCCTTTTTTTTAATCATGATTAGATCTTCTCAGGCGACTTCAAGAAGTCAGGAAATCTGATGGATCAACAGAACATGTTGGCCATATCCTTGTGGGCTGGGTAAGGCACATTTTAAAATCAATGCTGGGACTCAGTTTGGAGCTACAGCATAGTAATAACATTTATTTGCAGTTTACAGAAGTACTTATAATTTCCGTATCTAGCATAACATTTCAAAAATACATTCTCAAAGTATTTTTGTAAGGTAAAGACAACTGTTTAGAGACGTAACAGAACTTTTTCTCTTTTGAGGGATTTTCTGTGAAAGGTTTAGACTAGGTTGTGATTTTAAAAACTCTTGCTATGCAGGAAAACGAGCACTTCTTAATGGGCTTCAAATAAAAACCAAGTTGGAGTCTATTCATTTGATGTAGATCACTTAAGAATCTGCTTCTTATTTGTGCTCTGATTTTTGAGAGAAATAAGGCTTTGAAGAGTCACATTGTGTAAGGCCCCTCTATGGTCATTTCTGAATGCCTTTCTGTTGCAACCAAGGTGATAGTTGTGCGTCAGAGAGACTAATTCCTTAGGTTTGTTTGTTGTAAGGCAGAGTTACTAGAGAGACATGCAGGCCAGCAGAAGAAAAAGTTCGCTACTGTACAATACCATAAACTCTGAAAAACAGGTTTTGTTAGTTTTGTTGATACAATTGCTCATTGTATGAAAAAAGGAGCTCTTATTTAAAGATTTAGATGTGTGAAAAATTTATTTGTAAGTATATCTAAGTACTTAAATTTAGCAGGAAAAGGAGCTTGATGTTTTTAAGGGATTATGTGATGATAGATATTTAGCTGCTCTGTGTGGAAACAGTGCTTTATTCTAAACAGAAGAAATGTTCTCACTGCTATAGTTAATGATAGTGTCAAAAATGATCTTTGGTTTTCTTTGCATAAATTAATTTTAGCTGTGTATATTTTCTGGTGTCTTTGAACACCAGTGAACTTCTTTTGACCTGAATACACAAGACTACTTTTCCTTTGGAGAAGATTTTATATATAATTGCATGCAAATATACCAGTATTCGTAGAAAGATATGTTGTTTTAACTAATATTAAGCAAGCGGTTTTTCACATTAAAAACACAGTTCTATCATCTTAATTTGGTTAAGATTCTTAAGGGCAGTATAGGAAAGATTTCAAGGTCAGCTCAATCAGCTATTAGATATTCAATTTTCTATTCCTTTAATGATGAACAAGATGATCAGAAGACCACTGGAGACCTTATAAATTTTGGAAATGTGGTCATCAATAAACAATAGGTAAATCGCCAGGAAAGAGACTCTCAGCATCAGTTCTCAAATTTTGAATTGCTTGAAAAGTTCTTTAGAGCAAACAGCTTCACTTCAGCTGCAGAATGATTTATTCTAATTTATTCCTCCCTTTCTTCAGCTTCCATGCTTAAACTCCTATGATAGCTACTGCAGCAATCAGGTAGCAGCCAAAGCCTTATTGGATCACAAGAAACAAGATCACAGAGTGCAGGATTTCCTGCAGCGCTGCTTGGAGTCACCTTTTAGTCGCAAACTGGACCTTTGGAATTTTCTTGACATCCCAAGAAGCCGTTTGGTTAAATATCCATTACTGCTCAGAGAGATTCTGAGACACACACCAAATGATCATCCAGATCAACAGCACCTTGAAGAAGCTGTGAGTTCTTGGTTTTTTTTCCTGTTGTATTTATTTTCTTTTAATAAGATTTACAGTACATTATACTTATAACTATTTAGTGAAAACTATATAAATTATGGAAATGCTAAGGTATGTATAGCTGAAACTGCTATTTCTAGTTCCCTTCACCTAATTTAATCTTCTTTCAGTAGCAAGCTAGTATCAAGAAAACAGGGGAGTAGTGGTCCTGTGGTGTATCCACAGCTCATCTGATCCTTGTCAATTTTGTATTTACCTGTCAGTGTCATTTTCCATCTAATCTAAATTGGTTATTGCAGGGATTTTGTTCTAGATTTTAGGTGATTGAGATGAGTTTTACATTTGCCTGGACTTGCATATTTTGTAGTTTGCAGTCTTTTTGCTGCAAAATGACATCCTTACTTTTTTTTGGGGAAAACACATTTCAAAACACTTGTTACCTGAGTGCTGCTGACTTGCTATTTTTTCCCCACATCTCTTGCCCAGCACAACTTTTCTGTTGTAAAACTAGACAGCTGTGTTGTGAATTCAAAGCTTTGATATTCACATTTACATGTAATTTATAAATTATTTTTTGTCGTGAATGTTCTTTTAAGTCCAAACATAAAAAATTTTCATAAAGAATTTTTCAGCGTATTTTTTCAGATTTATTTTTCTACATAATGTCTGGTAAGATCTTTTAAATAATATTTTGATTGCTTTCTTATGCTATTTAATAAAAAACAATCAGGATGTTTTTCTTGATATTTCAATAGCCGTATATAGTTTTGTGGTATTCTGTTGCAACAGAACACTGTTCATCTTTGAAGTGACGTATTTTGTAAATTGTGTACTTCTCAAGTTAGAATAAGAAACAAAAATGACTATTTTTACACTGTGGTCTGCTTAAATCTGTGGCTAATGTCAGTTCTCTTACAGACTGGTATGCATAAAATTAATGAAAAAACATGCTCTAAACTAAAACAGTGTTATTGTAGCTCCAGTTGAAGTTATGTGTAGATAGCTCTGAATATCAGACTATTTAATTAAAATTCATGTGTTTTCATTTTTTATAGATTAACATAATTCAGGGTATAGTGGCTGAAATCAACATAAAGACTGGTGAATCTGAATGCCAATACTACAAAGAAAGACTTATTTATCTTGAAGAAGGACAGAGGGATTCACTGATTGATAATTCACGTGTTCTGTGTTGTCATGGCGAACTGAAGAACAACAGAGGAGTGGTAAGGAAAAAATGCTTTGTTACAAATAGCTTTAGGTTTTAAAGATGTCTTCATGTTGCATGATGAGCAGTGTAGTAGAAATAGTACTGGAAGCAGAAACCAGCCATTCATGTATTTTGTGTATTTTAAATAGAAACAACGTGAAAGTCTGAATGAACAAAAAAAAAAAAGAGAAAATTATTTCTCATCAATTGAGCTCATGACAGTTTCATAAAACAAACAAATAAGCACAAGTTTAAATGGATTTATCATCATTCAGAATGCCTCAGGTAGCATGTTTACACATACAAAATAGAAGTATTATGTATTTTCATATATCTGGCATGTTACTCACACACACTTCTGCTTTCTGTGGTATTTCATTCTAATGAAAATGTAACCACTTAACAAATTTATTCAAAGTTTTATCATGTCCTGCATAACTATTGTAGCTGCAAAACTGAACCACTAAGTGAATAGATTTTTTTTATCAGACTGCAGAAAGGTGACAGCACTATGGAAAAAGAAAACAAACAAACTCACAACAAACAATATGTTTAGGTTTGTGTCATGCAAAGAATTAAAAAGGCACAAGTGGAGGAAAACTGGACCGTTCATGTATGTACATTGATGTACATATGTGAATGTTGCGGCAAAATAGAATGAAGATGGATTTTGTGAATATAAGACTACCGAGTCATATTGAGAAGGGTTTATGCTACAATTACCTGTTTTGGTATAGTTTTCTGAAAGCATTAGCTTCTGGAAGATGGAACACTAAGCTAAGTAGATCTGAGGATCTATCTTGCATTCTTAAAATTGCAAATAATATGTTTGTTTAGAAATAGAGTATGGACAAATTTAGAAACAAATAATTCATAATGATTGTGGAGAAAGAGAAAATCTTGTCAGTGGAGGGGAGAAAAAGCAATTAATTTCAGTGTGTGATATAAAATGACATTAAAATTTCAGTTTGTTTATTACTGGGAGATGCTGGAGATTGTCAAATGTGAGGAGGAACATGATTTAAAAATAATAGGTGACTTGTGTCACTTAAAAGCAAAAGTGATCTTCTGAACTTCAGAGAGATGTGGTCAAGCTGAAGTTTGTAAGCAGCGTATGAACTGCAGTAAGACTACTCATAATTGTTCATTGAAAATATGACTTAGTTTCAAGATATGGGTGAAATAGGTTGCCTGTTTCTTATTGACACAGGCAGCAAGGGAAAGATAATCTGGGGTTTAGAAAATAGAATGCGCTTAAACGTGCTGATGCAGTTTTCATGGAACAGAAGGCAGTGTAATAGGTAAAGCTCTGAAACATCATAAAATTTCAAGACCTCAGTACTAAAAGATGAATTAGGATCATGACATGAAAAATCAGGCACAAAGAATAATCTTAAAAGTTTTTGAATTGTTAGATTTATATATATATTTGTTGCTGGGCCAGTAGCAGGAAAAGAGGAATCCTTATTGATTTAAACTTTAGAAAACACATATAATATATGGTTCTAACATAGTAGAGTTTAAATAAATCTGGTTTAATGATTATCCTAATAATAATAATGATTTGTTAATTATAACTTTTTACCAGAAACTACATGTCTTCCTCTTTCAAGAAGTCTTAGTAATTACTCGAGCTATCACCCATAATGAACAGCTCTGCTACCAGCTGTATCGGCAGCCAATTCCAGTGGTGGATCTTGTGTTAGAAGACTTGCAAGATGGCGAGGTTCGATTGGGTGGATCCATACGTGGTGCATTTAGCAACAATGAGAGAAGTATGAAAACGTCTTTAGTTTTATTTGCTTATATTGAATCATTGTAATCTTACGACATCTGCCAATGAGACATAAGAATGTTATCTCTAAAATTCACGTTATCTATATCTAATATCTTGGTTCTTATTTCAAACTGGTGATTTTGCTGTAGTTCACTTCTTTTAGATTGTTTTTCAAAGTCCACTTTATAAATAATGGAATTCCTCCCTATACCTGCTTTTGTACAGAACTGGGTAGGAAAGAAGTAAATCGAATGGAATGGCAAAACTGAAAAATTATAAAGAAGTCAATTTTGAAATTTTAAGCTTTAGTCTTTATGAACTCTCTATTATAATTACGGAGACATTTATGGCTACTCCATAACAAAGTCTTTCAACTGGCAGATAATTAATGTGATGCTTAGTGTAAAGATCGCAGCTACTGTTGTTAATGGCAACAAGTAAGAATTAATATCCTTCTAAGTAAGCCTATTATAAAGATACTTGTTTCATTACAAGAGATTCTGAATCTCACTGATCTTGTGAAAATTTTTGAGGTTTGTTTTATGTATTCATTTTATTGGTGAACTGAATGGAAGAGATGAGGCAATCTCCAGATGACACAGTTTTCAATGAAGGTTCTGGATATCTGCCAGAGGAGTAGGAGGAGACGCTTTGAAGTATGGGAGGATCCTTAGTTCTGCTGATTCATTTAAGGCTGTACAGTTAGATCGTGCATGGCGGAATCAAATTGGTTTAATCCAGAAATAAGAAATTATTAGGAATGTTAGCATTGTTCTGGGTTCTTACCTCCACAAAACATGGAGATACCTGGTCTCTTCTCTCTGGTCTGATACGGTATTGGCAAGAAAACTGAACTTTGACCATTAGGCAAAGATTCTGCTGATTCATTATTTTAGTATACTCATTTGTTGTGAAATTGGTTAGCCAAAGCATTCAGCATTTTGATGTGTATTGTTTCTTTCAGTCAAAAACTTCTTTAGAGTCAGCTTCAAAAATGGATCTCAAAGCCAGTCTCACTCACTGCAAGCCAATGACTCCTTCAACAAACAGCAGTGGCTTAATTGCATCCGGCAGGCCAAAGAAAAAGTTACATGTGCAGGAAAAGCTGGAGTGCTGAGCTCGGAAGCATGTTTTATTTTGTCACCAAATGGAAGCAGGGTATCCCAGGGAGAAACCATGATTGAGCAAATGGACCAATCTGACAGTGAGTCAGACTGTAGTATGGACACCAGTGAGATCAGCATCGACTGTGAACGTATGGAACAGACAAACCCTTGTGAAAATGAAAAACAAATAGAAACCAATGTTTGACACAAACTTATTCATGGAAAAAAACCTGTGTCTTACCTGTACAGTATTTGCATTCCACACATGGAACCATTTGGAGAAGCACTTTTAAAATATTTTTTGTGACAATGTAAATGCAGTCCTTCTTGTATAGTACTTGTATGCGTGTAGTACTGTAACTGCCAGTTTGTGTAAGCTGGAATCTCCTGCAACTCATGCCCCGTGATTATACTTCACAAACATCTAACATGGATGAAAGAGGTACTTGACCAGTTATTCTCAATGTCCTGCTGTAAACAGAATCTCTAAACTACTGCTTATAAGCGCATTACATAAAGAATCTTCCATAATTTTTAATTACTTTATTTGCCCTTTAATGGGGCAGCTGAAGATGTGGACTTAATATTGAGTTTCAGGAATGGGTATTGAGATTTTGAGTTTTCACAAAGACTTGGAAGTTAAAAACAGTTCATTGTAAAAAAAAGAAACATCTTGCAGTAACCTATCTCAACTCTTGTGGTTTTAAATCAACAAAAACTGTAGTGGGTCATGTAATCAGTGACTTTTTAAGGACTGATTTTTCAAAATGAAGCACTGTACAAAGATCCATCAGTTGATTGATGGGATAAACATTAAAATCTAGTAAATTGAAGTGGTCAGCGTCATGCTATGGTTTAAATATCAAAACACATCATATGAAAAATAATCAAGTAAACAAAAGCAAATCTCCACAGCCAGCACTGAATTAAATGAAATGCTGAGAATACTGGATATTTGTAAATAAATTGGTAGTTTGCTCTCAGTGCCATATATATGTATATGTATCTGTACCTATTCTCTCAAATAGGGTAAGAATGAAAAAAGCTTTTGCTTGTGAATAAGCCCTCTTCAGCATTTTGCACTCCACTGACCTCCACTGTTGGTTTTAAACACCACTAAACTAATGTTAAAAACATTTAAGTTTCTGTAAATGTCTGTTTACAATTACATGCAGTTATTGCTGGTTTTTATATATTTTTCTTAAACTAAGTGACAATTTTATATAAATGGTGCTCTACAAGTATCCTGTGGGATTATGTAGAGAAAGTTCAAACATAAAGGGAATTGATTTTCCTTTAGGATATATTCCATCCTTTATATTTTTGTCAAATTAATTTTTAACCTTTTTGTTGCATTTACTCTCATGCTGTAATTGGAAATGACACTGTGTTTTTTGATGGCTGATTTAATCTACTCATTATGATGAGAAACAGATGAGTCACTTAAAAATGCAGTCTAAAACACCCAGTTGAACATCCTGTTATTCTTCAGGAATCCCTGTGTAATATTTTATTTCTTAGTATAAGAAATAATGCCAATGCTGAATGATAGTATGGCAAGCTATGAAAATTATAATAAATTTAAATGATCCTCTAATATAAGAACCTGTGCAAAGTACTCACCATCAAAAGTAGAAAAACTAAGTTATTGCCAAAAATGTTTATTTCTTGTCCTGCAGGTTTATAAAAAATTGTAAATGTCAGTTATCTTGCATATATATACTGATGTGCATTACAGAAATCAGTGTGACAAGATTATAAGCAATATAAAACAAGGTATTTTTATTTTTTCAAAAAAGTCTGTTTTACCCGATAGAACATATTTCTGTATTTATACTTTTTTCAAAAAATGTATTTTTTTTTCTGTTTCAGGCTTTGTAATTTATTTCAACTGCTTCATTTTTAGAGCTGAATGACAGTGAAGGCAAGGGAAAGGAAAGATTGACAGAAGAAAAGAAGTAGGAAAGCTTATTAGATGGTAAACCATTTTCATAGAAATTGTTCAGCAAAATGTTTGAAAAGAGAGAAAATCAAGTGAAGGTTTCAAATACAGAAGGATTGAACGTGTATTGACTTTTTCTTTTCTATATATTTTTGTTTTATCATAGCCTTAAACTTTTCTGGAAGCATTTCAAATAAATTACATTAAAGCATTTTGATTTTTTTTTTATTTGGTTTGGTTGTTTTGCAAGAAGACTACAAAAAGATTTCAATAGTAAGCACGGTAAGTCTTAACAGTTGCATTTTGGTTCTGGGGGAGGTGTTACATATTTGGATCTAATTTGCTAGAAACAGTAGTAATAACTGCTCTACAAGTCACTGCACTGAATAATCCAGCACATTCCCTAGAGTTTTGTGTTGTTTAATCAATTTAGTGAGTAGGTGGAGCAAAAAATTAAGAGCAACCATATGTCTTATGTCTCCTGATACATTTTATATCATGTCTCTACTAAGTCTGTGTTTTTTCAAAACTCTGAGATGATGTATTTTGGGACACACAAAAATCGAACAACCAGATGATGATTCTTCTAAGATGAACATGCATTTTTTGTAATTGTTAACTGCTTAGCAATCCAACCATATACAACACACTGTAGTGCAGGTGTTTCAGTTTTGATTTACAGCTTTGCTTTGATCTAACAAAGCATTTTTTTTTGAAGAGAAGAGTAAACTTCTAGTTTAAGAATACTAGTATCATTCTAGTTTTGGTTAGGGCTTTCTTTGTTTGGGTTCAAATGCTTTTGAAATGCCCCTGTATTTGAAGGAGTGACTTTTGACTGTGTTGAGATGGACGTGCAATAACAGTACCAAAAAGTATGGGAAGAAAGTATTAGTAAATGCATTAAGGTCAGTAGTCATTATTGTTAGCAATTCTGATGTTAGAAAAATGGGGTCTAAGAAGTTGGAGTAGTAAATAAACTAGCACGCACGCTGTAGCCATTCAGCGAGCGTAAATCTATGCTTGATTCTTAGTAGAAGAATTTCCCAGGACACTCAACTGCTGTATGTACGTTGCTTTCACTAATGAGATATTTCTAAACCATGTAATTTTAACATTAGATCTCTAAGGGATCTTAGGTCATTCCTTACTCAAATGGAAGAATTGTTCCAAGGCAAGAAGGTGAAAAGAGAACAAGTGGAGTGTGTTAAAAGGGCAAGAGTCAGTGAAGAACCAGAGTTTCCAGGTCTTCTGAGTTCATCGTGAGGAAATGGCAAGATGAGAGAAAAGTGGATGAAGGATGAGTTCCAGCTCCTCTAAATCTGAGGTATTAGTCCTCAGGATCTCACCATCCTGAGAACAGTGAGTGGCAAGTCATCTTACTCCAAGGAGCAGGAAGCTGATAGTATGATGTGGCAGTTTCTTAACTTTCTAGCAACTTACCAAGCTACTCTATTCTTGGTGAGCACACTCAGTGCAGACTTGGTTTATAGGAGAGGTCTAATGAAATAAAAGCAATAAAGGATATATAATAGATTCTCTTGACTAAGAAAGAAAAGCGAACAAAGAAATGCCCTTGCAATTCTTTGAAATATATATGGACCCTCTGAGACTGCAAAAGAAAATGCAGCTGTGTGGTCTTCGGTTCCCTAGATTTGTTCTGCAGCACTGAAAAAAAGCAATGCAAGAATTAAGGTGACTCATGCCTGAAACACACAGTTCTGCTATGAGACAGCAGGAGCAGTTACTTCTGTGAAGCTCAGTACCAGGAAATCAATTGTCAGAATCTGGTAAAAGATGGGCCCAAAGCTCAGTACTGAGGTAGAGAAGACACTTCTCAGAGGCGACTCCCATGGAATGCTTTGAATTACTGGGTTCCAGTTAGTTCTCTTGAGGCTACAGAGAAATTTCCAGAGTTTGAAAGACTGATATCAGAGCTTTTAGATGTCAGTGTAATGGACTGACCTTTTTGGAAGTTGATATACCATAGTGACACTGTCTGGCACTTAGGAGGCAGCCTTAATTTGCATATCTGTAACTGAGCCAAAAATGCAGTTCTGTGTATATGAAAATTTGCAGCATTTAAACGTGGTTCAGATTCAGAACAGACAGTTTTTCCATATTTGCTGCTTACTAATGAATGCTGATTTTTAAAACACTGTGATCTGTTCTACAGGTTGATGCTGCCACCTACAGGAATTAGTATTCTTAGAGCTGTTAAAAATGTAAAATGCTTAAAAGGAAAGTCAGTAGAACTTTTAAACTATTACCTCATGATCAAATATTTGTTAGAAAAATGTCCTAGGTGAATTTCCACTACTGATCCCTGACTTTAAGGAGACAAGTGAAGATTACTCCTTGGTTTATCGCACTCTTTTCTATCATAGTCATGTATTTTTCCCATCGCTGGAAAATGTGTTCTTTTCAAGCATTTAAAATAGGTTTTATCTGAATTTTTTGAAGGTGCCTCTGCCAGCATGGGCTATGAAGGAGATATAATGATGCAGTTCTCCTACCTTTGATTTCCTGGCGACTAAAATTAGTCAGCATGAATCCCTTTGCTCAAAATTAGCACTTAACTGAAGAAACCCTTTGCATCGTTAGAGTAACCTCAGATAAGTAAAATAGTTATTTATAGTTATTGTAAATAATTTAAATTAGGTAATGTTTTGCATTTGTAGATATGCTTTCATAAAAGAATACATGGATAATTTCTTGAGCAGTCTTATGCAGTCCTTCCTTACAAAAGTCTCATATTTTGTGGCTATTACTCTGATCTTAATCTGCATAGTAATGTACCACATATCATCTGATTTCAGAATCAAAGGGATCTGCAGCTGCTTTGTAATTGGGTAGGAAACCACTTGTTACAAGCCAGGGAGCCACTGAATGCTTGGCAAATACCAGAAACCACAGAAACCATAAAGACTCTTCTTCAGGTGACAGATTTTCTAACTTTAAAATTATTTATTTATTTATTTATTTTACTTCAGAGTGTTCAACTAATCTCTTCTTAAGGTAATTTTTCACTGAAGCTTTGTTTGGTGGACTCGGATGCTTACTGCCTACTTTATGTTGAACTTTAAGATTCATAATGGTACAATGATCTAGAATTGTTGCATCAGTTAGGTAGTAATTTTGTGATAACCTCTCAGGTAAATCCTCAGGGTTATGCTAATTAATAATTTGCACAACTGCAAAGAAGTATGTTTATAAAGCAAGAGGTAAATATGGAAAAATATTTTTGTGTGTCGTTTGGTCAGTGAGGAAGATTTCTTCAGACATTCTTTGGATTTGCTATGACACACTCTTACAATGTTTATATTTTCCTACTGACTGAAAATGTCTAAAAACACTGCAACTGCAGGCTTTAGTTTACTTTCCATTATATGCTGTGAGAGAAAGTGGCAATAAGCATACTTCATATATAGGGTGTTTTTAGTAAACAGTAATTCACACCCTGTTGCCTTTTTTTGTGGTTGCTTTATACCCATCAACTTGAATGGCTACTGAAATACCTCCTTCTTTTAAAAATTCTTTTAGCCTCTCCAGAGCATAGATACGTTTTTCAGGAATTATTTTGGAAAGAGAAAACATGTTTGGAAGAACTCAAGGTCTGAGCCCATCCCTGAAAGAAATGTTTTGCCTAACTTTAAAATATCAGTTAAAGAAATGCTGCAGTGTCCCAAAACAGTTTCTTCCTGTACATAACGTCTGTTGGTGGATAGCTTTTTTCAAACTTATAACTTACATCTCCTTTAATAAAACTTAAAGCTAGTCCCAGTCTCTGTGGACAGGGGCATCCATATGATTATTCAGTTTCCTGCAGAACAGAAGGGTAATTCCCAGAATTTATAGCAAGGAAAGGAAAAGTATGTATAAAAATGATAAGGACAGAGATACAAACTTAGCTTTGCAATATTACTGCTGATTTGTCAATGCAAGTAACCCAGGTATAATCAAATTGGGATACTGTTCAACTGAGTTAATTGTACTGTAAAGATATAATATATATAGCCCAGAAGTTATTTTAACAGCTTTGCCAATTCAAACTTATTGACATGTTTGGAGATGAATAATAAATCAGCAAAGACTTGATTTTAGATAACAGTAAATTGGCCTATATCTTTTTCTTCTGATATATGGAAATTGTACTTGAAGTAGATAAAATGAAAATCACTCTGATAATATTTCAACTGATTTATGCTCTTTACCTCCGTTGAATACTCACAGAAATAGGGTATCAAATTCTCAAGGAAACATTCTTAATTTATCTGTGGGTTAAAACCCACAAACACAGTGTGCATTACCACTGGATACTTGAGCTCTACATTTCCACAGTTAGACAAATGTTTCATGTTATGTTTCTATAATTTATGTAGATTATAGCTATAGGCTCTATTTACCACATTTAAACTTGGCTGGTTCTCCAGAGACTTCTAAGAAACTAGTAATTATTAGCTTATCTTCTTTTAACACCCTGAAGGATAGCTCCATTTGTAAGCTGAGAAGTTACTTTCTAACTTACAGGTAAATAGAGATGAATAAAATGAATGGACTAGGTTAAAATATTTAGTCCTTGCATAGAGGAAAAATTTGTGTTTAAGATTGGTAGTTGCTTTTGAGATGACAATACAAACAACCACAGTTAGCAGGATTTAAAATAATTGGTATAAATAGGTAATATATTTAAGTATAGAACTAGTGTACTTTTAATAAAATAAAATCGTGGGCTTTTGATCTTGTGAATTAGTTGCAAAACTAAACATCAGGTACTTGTATCTCCTGAAAACTGCAATCAAGGGTTATTTTCAGCAGGTACTTTTGAATTTGGTGCATTTCTTAGACCTTCTAAAGAAAAGGTCTTTGCCATTCTTAGTGAAAGAATTAAAATTCCTTCATAGCATTTTAAATGTAAAATACTGGTTTACCTTTACTCTAAGTTATGCAGCCACTAAACCTGTGACTGCTGATAATTTACAAAGCAAAGATTTCAGTCACATGCAGAATCACAGAATTGCTGGGGCTGGAGGAGACTTCTAGAGATCACTCAGTCCAATCCCCTGCTAAAGCATGCTCCCTGCAATAGGTTGCACAGTAGGCATCTAGCTGGGTCTTGAATATCTTAAGAGAAGGAGACTCCACAACCTCTCTAGGCAGCCTATTCCGTGGCCATGTCACTTTCATTGTAAATAAGTTCTTCTGCGTATTTGT